ATTGTTTGGTTTTATGTCAGCATTTGGCGGAACTTTATGTCAAAACAATGAACTAGAAAATACATCTATAGTGCCACGCTTTACACTTAAGCAACCTAAAGCTCTGTAGTAAATCCCCAGCTTCATACAGTAGTTTATAATGGGAGTGAAAAGATGGCAGCAAACAAGACAAGGAAATCTTACCCCATTTTCAATTCCCGGAAAAGCTCTAAATCCCGGCTCTTCAGTCTTTCTTTCTCTCTAAAAACCTCCCTTTTCTATCAAGAAACGAAACTCATTGCATTTCTGGGGGTGTGCTCAAGTCTCCACTGCTGCTCAGTTTGTGGTGACATCAACAGGAAAACACAGAAAGCCTCCTTGGGCACTCCTCTTTCAACCCAGAGAAAAAGCCTCCTTAAAGGCACAGAGCCCTGCCAGATGGCAGAGAAAAAGAACTGTCAAATATTCTCAGATTTATATAGTACATTGAAATAGAACCATTTCAAATACAGCTGTCCAATGCAACATCACTGCTACAAAATACTGTGAAGGAGCTGTACACAAATCATACAAAAGCAAAGAAGGAAAAAGAGTCCCATATCCTCCAGCTTCAGCAGATGGGGACACCACAGATAGGCACAAGTATGGCTGAGCAACAACTGAGCATAAAGTTGGTCAAAGTTATTCAGTAGAGTCTCGCTTATCCAACATAAATGGGCCGGCAGAATGTTGAATAAGCGAAAATGTTGGATAATAATGAGGAATTAAGGAAAAGCCTATTAAATGTCAAATTATGTTAGGATTTTACAAATTAAGCACCAAAACATCATGTTTTACAACAAATCAACAGAAAAAGTAGTTCAATTCATGATAAAGTTATGTAGTAATTGCTGTATTTACAAATTTGCCAGGAGGGCCTTTGCACAATTAAAACTTGTGCGCCAGCTGCGATCAAACCTCACGAAGTCTGATTTGACCATGGTGGTCCATGCCTTAGTTACCTCTAGACTGGACTACTGTAATGCTCTCTACGTGGGGCTACCCTTGAAGACAGCCCGGAAACTACAACTTGTCCAACGTTCGGCAGCCAGATTAATAACTGGGGCATCCTACAGGGAGCGGTCAACTCCCCTGTTTAAGGAGCTCCACTGGCTGCCGTTTATTTTCCAGTCCCAATTCAAGGTACAGGTTATCACCAATAAAGCCCTAAACGGTTTGGGACCCGCCTACCTTCGTGACCTTATCTCTCTCCACGTTCCAACCCGGGCCCTCCGTTCCTTGGGGGAGGTCCTCCTTTCGCCTCTACCAATCTCACAAGCTCATCTTGTGGGCACAAGAGAGAGAGAGAGCTTTCTCTTCTGTGGCCCCCCGACTTTGGAACTCAAGAAAGCCCCTTCACTAGAAACGTTTAAAAAGAACCTCAAAACCTGGCTTTCCCGCTGTGCCTTTGGTGAGTAAGTGCACAGCATGATATTTTGCACCCCTCAATGTTTTCTGCCAATGGAGTTTGTGCCCTCCAAATAGGATGTTCAGGCTCACAACTCTGTGTGTTTTTATAAGTTCCATGTAAACGTCCTGCTCCTATTTTATCTTATTGTAGTTTGTAAACTGTTTTTCATCCTGAATATGTGGCCCGCCCATTGTCTTCATTACTGTGATTGTGTTTACTGGAATGTTTATTTTATGATTATTTTTTCCTTTTTAATTGTCACTTTGATGTTGTTGTTGTTGTATATGTTTTGATTTTATTTCTGTATTATGTTTTGATTTTATTGCTGTATTATGTTGTCCGGGCTTGGCCCCATGTAAGCCGCTCCGAGTCCCCATCAGGGAGATGGTGGCGGGGTAGAAATAAAGTTTATTATTATATTATTATTGAAACAGCTGTGGATCCAGGCAGGATAATACAGAATGCTGGATGAGTGAAAGTTGGATAAGCGAGACTCTACTGTAATCAGGAAAAACCACACAAAACTACTACTTTAGGGAGTCAAATCTTAGAATTGATGTAATGAATTTAGGGAAGCCTGAAAAAAGGTGGAAAACCCAATTCAATAAATAGAATGGTTTGTGCGTACAGGCATGTCTTTGCAATGTGTTAAGAAGAATGAACTATTCTTGGGTGAGGAACCAACCTGGACACAGCATATTATTTGAGAACACAGAAATGCTGGACCATTCTAGCAACCACCATGTCAGACAAAGGGAAGCCACTGAAATCCACAAGCATGTGGACAATTTCAACAAAAAGGAGGAAACAATGAAAATGAACAAAATCTGGCTACCAGTATTTTTAAAAAAATCTAAAATTCTAAAATCAGGACAGTAAATAAAGAACAACACTAAAAAAATCCAGGGAATTTCAGGCAGGAAACAATCAGGACCTCTCAACAAAGGATTCCCCCAGGTAGGAAGTAGCCAGGCTTTGAAGCTGCAAGGCCATTCAATGCTAATCAAGGTGGCCAATTGCCAAGCAGACAAGAGTTCTTTCTCCTACCTTCAACATTCCACAGATATATAAATCTCACTTGCCTAGTTTCCAAGACACATCACAACCTGTGAGGATGCCTGCCATAGATGTGGGCGAAACATCAGGAGACAATGTTTCTGGAACATGCCATACAGCCCGGAAAATTCACAGCAACCCAGGGTCCTTCCACACAGCTCTATATCCCAGACTATCAAGGCAGAAAATCCCACAATATCTGCTTTGAACTGGGTTATCTGAGTCCAGACTCAGATAATGGGGGGTTTTCTGCTTTAATATTCTGAGATATAGAGCTGTGTGGAAGGGCCCTCAGTTCAAAGCAGTTATTGTGGTAATTTTTTTGCCTTGATATTCTGGGTTATATGGCTGTGAGGAAGGGCCCTGAGTGAGGATTCAAATTTTGGTCTTCAGAATCTAATGCTGATATCATTAAACTAATCTGGCCCTCTAGCGATAAATATAATATTTTATGTGGGGTCTAGTAAAGGCACTTTGTACATATACAATATATTGATACTTCTTATTTTTACAGTAACACAATACTGTAACATGATTCTTGCTCCTGGGCTATAAGTGTCATTTACTAATTGGTTCTATCATAAGAACATGGAAAAAGTTTATTAAACTGCAAACACTTTGGTTTTTGTGGGACATCCTGCAGCACATTTTGCTCTAGTTTTTCAATAAATATCACATAGAGTCTCAACCAATTCAACAAGATGCAACTTGTAGTTTCTCAAGTCACTCCTGACATGACCCCCCCCCCCCCACAAATTCAACATATTTTGTGGCAGTCACAAAAATGAAGTTTCTGGAGTATAACACCTACTCTTTGGGGTAGCCCTGTTGGCCACACAGCAAGACAAAAAAACAAAAAAAAAAAAACAAACCCAAATTCAGTTGCTCAGTTGAGAGATTCCCGCAAGAGAAAGACACTCCCATCTTTTGGGCCATGTCTCTGTCCCCTGATGGCCAAAAAGTTGAGAGTGGCCACATCTAACAACATCTAAGACAAAATGCAGGCTTGGGATTGCAACAATGTCTACTTTCTTATTTTTAACACTTAGGCCTGATGAAGGAGCCAGCTGAGTTTCAAAAGTCTGCATCATGTGTTTTGTGCCTTTTGGCTGTTCATAAAGATGCTTTGTCAATTTTGGATCTCTCTCATCCTGCTGAAACTCTCTCTTTCTCATAAGAGATCATTCTCTCGCCCTGTTTACTCTCCGGATCTACAACAGCAGTCAAGTGATGAACAGTCAGGAGGAGAAGATACATTAGATTCTTTATGATCATATGAAATCTGGGAAATCAGCTGGATGTGAAATTGAATTTACAAGACTTCCAATAGAGTAGCATCACTAGTGCAACTCCATTTACACTAGTGTAGTGTCATGCATACCTTTGGGGGTTTTTTTGTGTCAGGAGCGGTTTGAGAAACTGCAAGTGGTTTCTGGTGTGAGAGAATTGGCCATCTGCAAGGACATTGCCCAGGGGATACCCAGATGTTTTGATGTTTTACCATCCTTATGGGAGGCTTCTTTCATGTTCCTGCATGAGGAGCTGGAGCCGACGGAGGGAGCTCATCTGCGCTCTCCCCAGATTCGAACCTCCAATCCGTCGGTCCTCAGTCCTGCCGGCCCAAGGGTACAACCTATTGCACCACTGGGGATTCTTTGGTGTAGAACAAATATGTGCCCTACATGTTACTTGCCGCTCCCAGAAATCCCTCCTCGGGACCATTCATTAATTTTTTTTTGAACTAAATCAAGGAAAACCACACTCCCAGAAATATTATTCCTCCATAAAGCAAGACACATGAACTTGCTTTGACCAAAACAAAACAAAAATCATATGATGTTTCCCAGGATGTGTCATCTAATTGTTATATAGGTAAAACTTTCCCCTTGACATTAAGTCCAGTCATATCCGACTCTGGGGGGTGGTGCTCATCTCCATTTCTAAACTGAAGAGCTGGCGTTTTCCATAGACATCTCCAAGGTCATGTACAAACGTATAATTAAATTTTACATACTGAAAAGAAGCAAGGTTTTCCCTGCTTCCCAGAAGAACCTTTGGTGGCTGCTTCAAGGAGAATATAAGGCTGAATTACCATTCAAGTCTGATGGCAAGGCTTGTGTCATCTGTCAACATATGGAAACTCCATACATTTCAAAAGGTTTTCTTATGCAAGGAATACTCAGAGGTAGTTTTGCCACTTTTTTATGTTTGCTGAATTATAGAAGACAAATATAGATTTGCTTGTTCTGTCAAGTATTTGGCAAAGTATGATGCTGTTGCTCCTTGAAGCTCAATTTTCTAAATTTGAGTTGCTATTTAATGATAACTCTTGTTAATAATGTCTTAGATTAAAAGGCATTAGAGACATATTTATATGTAAATTGGATAGCTAAACAGAATAAGTACTGCCATTCTCATTATCATATGGTAAAAATCAAAGGATTTTTGTGTACAGTACAGTTGCCATGTATCATACATACTGCGAATCCATAGTACATGCAAACCATTTATTTACCCAGGGAATTGTCTGAATTCTGCTTCATATTTCATTGGCGCTCCGAAGGCTGATGGAGATGTGCTGCTGAAAAACAAACATATGAAGGATTGTAAAGCAACCAAGTAACACCCATAAATTCTACTCCCAATAGATAAACAATACAAGCAACAGAAAAGGCGTTCTTATATGTCCTAACCAGCTTAGCATTCCTGCACATTGGGACACAGAGAAGAACGATTGGTCAGATGAGGGAATGGGCAGGAGGATGGTGCCCCAAGCCATTTAAAGGTGATAGCCAAAATATTGTTTGCAAATCTACCAATAACTAGTGCCCATGCTCTAAAATGGACACAGTATGCTAACATGACTATGTTTGTAGAACACTTGAGCAGCTATATTCTGGGCCAGCTGCAGTTTCTTCAAGGACTCTTCACATGCATTGCATTTAATAGTTGCTGACGTGTACCTTTGAGTCATTTCTAACTTATGGTGACCCTAAATTTATCACAGGGCTTTCTTGACAAGATGAATTCAGAAGGGGTTTCCCACTGCCTTCCTCTGAGACCCAAGGCCACCCAGGGAGGTTCCATGGCTGAGTGGGGTTTTGAACCTTGGTCTCCAGAGTCCTAGTCCCATGCTCACTCCATCATGCTTCTCTCATCTGGATAGTTGCATAGATCAATATCAACATAACCAAGACATTTGTTATTGTGGCTACATCCAACATCTTCAGGAATAGAAGTAAGGCTCATTCTACACCAGACAAAATGTTCTGGAAGTGCCCAGAACACACCACATGTACCAAAATGGGAGCTACTTTGTCATTCAAATGGCCAGTCAGACCGACAGCACAACAATATCACTACCTTATCCTCCTGGGGGCTGCCCCTGCTGTTTTGCCAACTGGAAGCAGCTTCCTGGCAGAGCCTAGCTGGTGAGATCACTTCTGGTGAGGTCACAACAAGACACTCAGCCACGTGATCACCAGCAAGTGACATTGCTAGGAAGGAACATGGGGGAATCTTTTTTTATGTGTGGACACTGAATTGTCCCGGATCTACCCAAAACCAGTTGTCTACATGGCAAAACTACCAGGAATCATTCCAGAAGATCTTGGGGGTAATCTGCAGTTTTTCCTGTGACTGATTAATATCCAGACGTAGACTGCTCACAGTGAATTTGTGGTAGGGATTTGACCTATAGAGAAATTAGGTGAGTTGCATCAAGTCTAAAATGGGCCAAGCAACTGCCCATCCCAGTCACAGCATTTATCAGCCAGACTATGTTTAGAAAGACGTCTTTGGGCCCTTCCACACAGCCATACAATCCAGAATATCAGGGAAGATAATCCACAAAATCTGCTTTGAACTGGGTTATCTGAGGCCAAATAACCCAGTTCAAAGCAGCTAATGTGGGATTTTATACAACTGTGTTGATGGGCCTTTGAGACAAGCCACAGCTTTTGAGGGAAGGGTACTTATCAAGAGAAGACTGAAATCCCATAGCAGAAAAAACAACCCATCCTAGCAAAAGCTACTCTGTTTTGTCAATTCAACAGCCTTTGTGTAGTTCATGGATATATTGCTGAATTCGGTTTCAACTGTGGCACACAATATAAAGTAGATGTGTGCAATTTTATCTAGAAAGTGTCCAGCAAAACACTAGCAAGCCAGCAAGACAGTTCCTTTCCAATCATACCTTTCCGACAGCTGCAAATTACACAGAAGCTGGTCATATTTATCCAATTTTTGTGACGGGTCCGAGCAGCAATATCGTTTGAGGCAGCTTCCACAGCAAAAATCTGTACAACTTGTTCCCAAATATAAAAGTCCATAAGAATTTTTGTATGATTCACATCTCTCACAGAAACCTGAAAATAAATAAAGACAATCAATCATTGAACTATGTAACTCACACTAAAAAAAAAATGAAGACACAAATAAAATAATTCACTAAAAATCACTGTAACTTCTCTATTTGCATCTTGGAAAAAAAACATCTTGCTTACTGACAAATAGGATCTCTTGATCTCTGAATACTTGTGTCATTCCATAAATAGTACAGAAGGAGAAGATGTCCTTTTTCAGAAGGAAATAATTTTGTTAAGGGTGATATACTGAAAACCATGAAAAGACAGAAAAAGGATAAGTGTGTTAGGTGTCCTTTTTTACACAGCTATTCAGTCTTTAGTGGGCTTAATTTCCATTTTTTCCACTGAAGTAGAGCTGCAGAGCCTATCTTATTGTAAGAAATCAGTCATCAGTTAAGAAACTGCCTTCATAACAGTTAAATATTTGAAACAACGACGCTTTCTCTTTTTTATACACAAAGATAGCTTAATTGTTTGAATAGAAATAGCAGTAGAATACAATCCCCATATCCAAAGGAGATACATCAAGCCTACTGGCTGTTAGGAATTGTGGGAGCTGAAGTCCAAAACACCTGGAGGGCTCAAGTTTGCTCATGCCTAGGATACAAACCAAAGTTGAATCCTGACAAGACAGAGGTCCACCTAGTCTGTCACAAGGCCAAACAGGGTATAGGGTTACAGCCTGCACTGGATGGGGTTACACTCCCCTTGAAGGCGCAGGTTCTCAGCCTGGGAGCCCTCCTGGACTCGCCATTGAACCTGGAACCTCAGGTTGCAGCAGTGGCTAGGGAGGCTTTTGCACAATTAAAACTTGTGCGCCAACTGTGCCCGTAGCTTGGGAAGTCAGACTTGGCTACTGTGGTCCACATTCTCATTATAGACTACTGCAATGCACTCTACATGGGATTGCCTTTGAAGATGGTTTGGAAGCTTTAAATAGTCTAATGAGAGGCAGCTAGGTTAATAACTGGGGCGGCATACAGGGAGCACACAACTCCCATGTTACATCAGCTCCACTGGCTGCGTGTTTCCTACTGGGCATAATTCAAAGTGCTGGCTTTAGCCAATAAAGCCCTAAACAGCCCCAGTCCAGTTTACCTGTCCAAACACATCTCCCTTTATGAACCACTGCGAAGACTAAGATCTTCTGGGGAGGCCCTCCCACCACTGTCACAGGCATGTTTGGTGGGGATGAGAGACAGGGCCTTCTCAGTGAATGCCCCCCAGTTATGGAACTCCCTTCCTGGAAATATCAGATCAGCCCCCTCCCTCCTGTCCTTCAGAAGGATGGTGAAGACCTGGCTGTGGGACCAAGCCTTTGGGGCAGTGCAATGAGGCAATAATAGAATGGTGTCCTGAGATGGTTTTTAAGCAACTAATTTTGAAGTGGATATAAGTGATTTTAATGGTTTTATTTCCCGGCACTGAATGTTTGCCATATATATGTTGTGTTCCACCCTGAGTCCCCTGCACGGTGAGAAGGGCAGAATATAAATGTTTTAAATAAATAAATACATTCTAGTAGCATACCTTATTGAAATGGAAATCTCCCAGTTGAAGCACATCATAGAACTGTGCTAGAGGACCTAGAAAATGCCTAAAGATCACACCTCTCTAGGTATTGCAAGGGCCTCCATGACAACTCTAAGGTCAACTTCTGGCAGAAACATACCATAGAATTGTGCTGGACAATCTGGAAAGTGCTCAGAGAGATGCTATTTTGGATGTGGATAAGCAAACCTGCAGATAATGACCCCACAGTTCTGGAGGTTATACTGTAGTGCTCCTACTAATTATTTTTCTTGCTTATATTGTTCACCCAGTTCTCCTCTCCTGCCATTGATTAATAGGGTAGAGCAGCAAAACCCCAGATATATTTTCTATTCTTCTCTAAAGAATATGTGCCAAAGGCACAGCATCTATTTTTCTCTGCTAATCTATTCCTCCACAATGTATTCCCCAGTATGTTGTCTCAGATTGGGGACAACACTAATGTGATTCCACAGATGAGTTGTGATAAAAGATCGCAACTTTATAAACAAACAAACTTTTGGAAACAACTGCATGAGACTTCAAATTAGATCAGATCTTTTCCCCGACTGCTACTGAAGATGGAGGATAGATAAACAGGATATGATATGTAATGATTTTGGCTAGTAGCCAGAATTACTCTTCCACAAACAGAAGGACTCTTTCATCCCATGGAGCCTTGAGGCTCTTGCAGGAATGGGGGAGTAAGAAATAGTCCCTCTGAAGCCCCATAAATCACTTCCCATGTTGTTTCAGATGTGCTCACACCTAAGAGCAAAGTCAACATTTATTCTTTGATGTGTTAGTTACACTTATATGCCATTTTTATTCCAACAGGCCGGTGATGGACTCCTTCAGCCCACTATATCCTTACAACTCTGTGAGGAGCATCAGCCTGACTTGACTGTTTACCCAAAGTCATCTAGTGTGTTTCATGGCATCTCTTGAATCCCAACTGTCTGCACAGTTTGAGATACTAAATTATATTCATAAAGGTCAGGTTAGACATGAAGTATCTGCAGGTTGGCTGTGAATTTTTCAGGCTTTATGGCCATGTTTCAGAAGCATTTCAACAGAAAGGAGGAAACCATGAAAATGAACAAAATCTGGCTACCAGTATTTTAAAAAAACTCTAAAATCAGAACAGTAAATAAAGAGCAACACTCAAACAGCAGGGGAATTCCAGGCAAGAATCAATCAGGACCTGCTAACACCTCCCAACAAAGGATGCCCCCAGGCAGGAAGCATCCAGGCCTTGAAGCTGCAAGGCTATTTAATGCTAATCAAGCCAATTGCAACATTCACACTTGCCTCAGGAAGACAAAAGTTCTTTCTCCCACCTTGGACGTTTCACAGATATATAAACTTCACCTGCCTAGTTTCCAACAAACCTCACAACCTCTGATGATGCCTGCCCTAGATGTGGGCAAAATGTCAGGAGAGAATGCTTCTGGAACATGACCATACAGCCCGGAAAACTCACAGCAACCCAGTGATTCTGGCCGCAAAAGCCTTTGACAACACAAAGTATCTACAGTTTTTTTAAAAATTGTACAAAGTACAGAAGATAACATGTAACATCCTATTGACTCTAACTGTTCTTGAAAATTAGGTGCCGTCTTATTATCTTAGTTTGTTAATTAAACTGCAGGGCTTGGAAGTCTCTCATTCATGGGGTCACTAGACATGGAAGATGACTTGCTAGCAATTAAAAACAACGAGAATTTTCAGATTTTTACATAATAGAGATTCTGGTTCAAAAATAGGTTTGGGCCCTGTTGAGAAAAAGGGAGTTTGGCTCCCCAGCTGTTCAGTAACAGATCTATACAATAGAAAGGGTCTTTCAATGGGTGATAGCTAGTACACCAGCTAGAGAGGTATGGGTAATTGCCTCTGGCCTGACAGATTTGGGCTGAGCTGAAAAGGGGCTCCTGGTTGAGCACAACAGGGAGGATTATTATGTCTTCAAGTAATTTCCAATTTATGGTGACCCTAAGGCAAAAGTACGTAGGGTTTTCCGGGCAAGATTTCATAAAGGATGAAGCCTGAACAAAGCCTAAAAAGATAAAAAGATATAAGATTTCTTTTTTAAAAAATCTGGAAAAGCTCTAAATAATGTAATCTGATTTAAATTTAAATGTTAAACAGAAAGATTTATGAGAAAATTATTGGAATATTTGTCATAATGTAAATAATGCCATATACTTATTTTATATTTTATTTGAAAAACAACAACTTTACTTTAAATAACAGTTTTCTCATTTACCTAAAAAGGACAGATGTATCTTATATCAAGAGTTTAATGTTCTTTATTTCTTTATTTATTACATTTCTATCCCGCCCTTCTCCCCACAAGGGGACTCAGGGTGGCCTTACTTTTTTGTGGTTTAACTGTTGTACCTTCATCTCATTCACTCTCTGCGCTGTTTTGAACTATTTCAAGTTCAAAAACTCTGAATGTTAATAGTTGAATATTTATTGCAGTAAAAGATGGATGTGAATTTGTGAGCACATTTTTCTTGACTGTAGGTGTGACTAAGAAGCAAGGGATTGTGTGAAACAGAAACAAGGAAGGTAATATGTTTATTTGTTAGTCCATTCCTCTTAGAAGTAGCGTTTGTCTATGCTTGCCTGTGAGAACAGTTTAGCAGTGGAACTCTCTGCCCTGGAGTGTGGTGGAGGCTCTTTCTTTGGAGGCTTTTAAGAAGAGACTGCATGGCCATCTATCGGGGGTGATTTGAATGTGTTTTTCCTGCTTCTTGGCAGGGGGTTGAACTGGATGGCCCATGAGGTCTCTTCCAACTCTATGATTCCATGATGCTATATTCATAACAGTAATATACAGAGGTCCATATCATGTACACAGCCCATCTGATAAATTGCAGTACAACATTCATGACAACAATGGATACACGCACACTTATGCCATTTGGAAAATTCTGCACAAAAAATAAAGCATCCAAAGTTTTCCATCCTACCCTCTGCCAGGCCTGTACAAACTGTGGTCCTCCAGGTGTTTTGTGTCTCTGCTCCCAGAATGTCTGACCATTGGACAAGCTGATTAGGGCTTCTGGGAGTTGGAGTCCCTGTTACCTGGAGGGCCACAGGTTGTGCAGGCCTGAATAAGGCAATCAAACAGATATGATTTACACAAAGCTAGAATACCAGTATATAGGCAATTACTGGACTGCAACTGATGCCCTAAGGCACTACAGTACCCATCTCTTAAACATCTATGTTAGATCATGAGATTAACAGACAAATCCTATTATAGCATGACTGTCATACAGTTATTGGTTTTTTCAGGCTCAAAACCAATAACGTGATGAGTTCAAGTGTAATGTTTAGGAGTTATGAAGTTAATCTAATGGAATATATGTGATCTCCCTCTTTTTCTGCAGCCCCCCACTTAATCAACCATTACAATAATTCCTAACAAGTTGTATCATGTCATTATATAGCTGAAGTAT